AAGAAGAAAATCATCGAAATTGTCTTTGCAGTCAATTCAGAATTATTCAAAACTGTCTATATTTTTACACATTAAGTTTTTTCGGCTTTAAACTGAGCATACATATTCAATTTCATTAAATTTGTAGCATAAAATAACATAGGTTAGGTTTAAGTTATTTTAATTACGGCAAAGCCTCGAGGGCTATCTGCCTAAGGGAAGGGATGCCTTCGTTGAGGACTTTCTAAGGGAAACTGGCTCGTATACACGTTACACACATGGGGCAAAACCCCCGAAAACACCCATGCAGCCAGCCCGTCCGCGGGATTCGAACCTCGGACCGAACTACCAGTGTTCAGCGACTTAACCGCTCGGCCGCTGGTGGAACCGCTAAAAATAATAAGTTAATGTTTCTTCACTCACGACTAATAGAAAGAAAATCATACTTGTCTATTAATTGTATAAAGTGAAACAGGTAACTAGTTTTGAAGAATCATGTCTAATTAGATAGAAAAATCTTTGTCAAATAAAGAGTTGCCAAAATTTAATTATTTACTTACAAAAAAATACGAAACACTTGCATGCAAAGATTGTTATAATCGGATTTTAATAATTATCTAAACTAGAATTAAATACAAGATTTTTTGTAAAACTTTCATATTTAATTATTTACTTTACATTAAGTGAATTTTAAAAATATCAGGCATGAACTCACAAAAATTTAAATAGCGTATTTTTTCGCATTGATATCAGAAACAAAATTGGTATTAGTTACAAAAATATTATCAAGATTTTTCAAGGTCTTCGGATTTTAATAAATACGCTGTTCCTGTGACAAATGTATCGAGATATTTAAAGGCAAGCATTTTGCAACATACAAAATGTATTTACAATTTTGAATTTTTATTAATCCTACATTTAATCTAATCCTACTTTTAAGTCACACATTTGTTTAATTTACTTAACTTGGTAAATGATGCTATTTACTACAAAGTGACTAGCATGATGAAAAAAATGCCATCTGCTATAGATTGAACGATTAGCATGATGATAAACAGTACTATTTGCTATAAATTAAATTAATAGTATGATTAAGTCATCATATTTATATAATCACTATTAGACTTAAAATAAGATTAAATATGTTTCTATAAATGTATGTACTGGCTTTGGTTTATGATAATTGTAACATACTTAACACAGAAGCACTTTTTAAAGCACAGATAAGTTATAAACTTATTCATTAAAAAAAAAAAAAAAAAGAAAAAAAAAAAAAGAAAACGCAATTTACCTTTGAAAATTTTTTTGGCTTGAAATTGCTTCTATGAATCGCCTTTATCCATTTATTTAAGAATTCTTTCTCTTTCGGAAAAGAGAAAACCTGTACTTTAGGACCATTTGGATAGTTCCCTTTACAGTTAGGTACACCAGCATGTGTAAACCATATTAAAAATTTGAAAAACAAATAATAAAGTGGAATAGTTATAATATGGAAATATCTGAAAAAAGAAAGAAAATGTCCACTGTTCTTATGGACGACTTCTGACCGAGTGACCGTCAAAACTCCGGAAATCCACCCACCACAGTCCTGGGTGGGGAGAGTTAAATGAAATGCAATCCCTACTGAAACTGACGTCACACCTCCTCCTGGGAAACGCGCCGTGGCCTTAAGTTAGTTCTAGGAGGTATTGACGTCACTGGAAGGAGAAGTCAAACCTTTACATCCAGATTTATAATATTTGGAACCTAGCAAACCATCATATGGTTCTGTTGAAACTAAAGCTGAGAAACAGATATTACATTTTACTTTATAAGCTAAGCTTTTAACAACAAAACCAGCTATATAAGATGTATACTTTTCGTTCTTAAATATTCTTATTTTTGATTAGTTATAATGCTAGGAATTAAAATTTACCTATAATTTAAAAAAGCAGCAAAAAATTATAAATTTTAAAGAAAAACTTTCAAAAATTCATGTTAGTAGTTTAGTATTAGTTAAAGTTTTAGTAATTGTAAGAGAAAATTACTTGGTTGAATTTTTCTGTTAGTTCAGATTTAAAATATTATTTTCTAAAAGAAGAAGTTACAAATTCGCTTACATCATAGGAAAAGCTAAAACTACATACAAAGCCTGAAAGCATGCAACAGCTTTATAATTATTTAGAACGTTAATTATGCTTGAAAAGCATGCTAAGTATTTAAAAAGCAATCTCAGTGTCAAAAATGAAAATATTTAAAAATTCTTACTTGTGAAATGAGGCACTACCACCAGCTTTTTCGTGACAATTGTAAGCGCTGCAATAGCCAACCATTGGTAATTTCTGGAAGTCGTCCCTACTCCTCCGGATGTGATCAAGGTGACAGCCGGGAACGCGTCAGACAAGGGAGAAAACGCAATTGGGTTAGTCTATTTCTTATAAGGTCCATGATTATATTTTGCTTTCATCACCGCAAGTTTATCAATACATGGCAGCTTCAGTAATAACTTATGCAGTGATGTCTAAACTTTTTTTTATATTAGTAATTGAATAACAAGAGCATGGCAACCTTTTATGCTAACATTACGCTTGGCGATGACTATAGATTTTTAAATGCTGTAAGAAATGTTGACGAGGAAAAATGCAACAAGAATTTCTTTTCATATGCTAAAAATAGATTTTGTTAATGAAACTCATAGACCAAATACATTTAGTGCTATTTTAATTAAGAATAACTGATATGTTATTCACCATAAACCAAGAAGCAGCGGCAGAATATGTCGGCACCGGACGGCAGAATTTAGGGAGGAAGAAATTTTTGGAATTTGGGGAAGCATCGAGCTGCAAAATTAAGGGATGAGTAGTTTTTTATGACTTAGGGAAAGCACTGGGATGCAAAGTTTAGGTGCGGTGAAAATTTAGAACTTAGGAAGGCGCTTTGTAGCAGAATTTATAACCCACAGAGAGTGCACCATGCGGTATTTAGCGCCCGCTCTAGATAAAGCGTTAAGTATATGTGGGAGTTATTTATTCATTACTCAGATTAGTTTTAAGCATGTGCAAGAAATAAACGTAGGTATAGTAAATAACTAAACTAATATCATTCAGGCTTAATTCAGTACGCAATGGGAGCAAGACAAAAACAGCGAAGCAAATGCTTTTCGTCGCCAATCCTGTGATACACAGCCAATAATATATAACGGACGCTATTAAGCTAAAATTATCTTTACTGATTCTAAGGCATTTCAGTTAATGTAGCGGACTGCGCTGCTCTCTAATTTTTTAATTTGACTCAGCTTATTATTTTTTTAAGACTCTTTCGATTATGTCGAAAAGAGTTTCCAATTCTGGAGCTACCAAAGGATCTACAAAGCGAAACCATGTTTCGATGTGCATTAAATAAAAATGTGAAATTGCTACAAAATATGGATAAAGGTATATCCGTCTCAAAATTATGCGAGGAGTATGGAATTGGAAAGTCAACTGTATATGACATCAGAGAAGAGAAAAAAGAACTTTTTGAATTTTTTGTGGAAGCAACTTAACTTACATTAAAAGAAATGTTTAATAAAGTAAACAAATAAGTATTCAGCTTTTTTTTTTTTTTTGTAAATTTTGATACTCTTTAGATCATAATTGTTCTTTATTTCATAAATTACGATCTCATATTTTTAATTGTATAATTTCTGCATGCCATCTTACCAGATTTAAATTGATGATCTAATATCCGGAAAAATCCCAAATTCGGAATCGCCGAACTCCCGACGAGTCCGGATTTCGGACTTTGTACTGTATTAGCAAGTATTAAGAGCGTATTAAGAAGGGCTAGTTAATGTTTCTCTTTCAGAATGCAATGCTTGTCATAAGGGATAACCTATCTGCAATGCATTTATTCATTAATTATGACGCGTTTATTGAAACTTAAGATATCTGACAGGTCATGTGTCATGTAATTAATGGATTTTTAATTATTACATATCCAGAAGATTTTACATTAAATTTGTGTGAAATACTGTTACAGAATACTCTTGAACTGAGCCTATGTGGATCCTTTTATAAACTGTAAACATGTGGCTGTAACAAAGAAATTTGACAACACAGGGTAACTTTTCAAAATGTTTCATAATTAAAGTTTATAAAATTTTATGAATTTAAGACATAATTAATAATGGTTCTTTTTTTCTACGAAATGAATTTGGCTCTTTTTTTTGGCTCCGAAAGAAGAAGAAAAAATATATCTTTTTGGAAATCAGCTGTTATTGAGTAACAATGTATTTCTGCTAAACCTATGGAATTGCCCAAAGCTGATTTTTTGTATTTCGAGCTGTAAGCAAAGTACGTATTCTTCTTTTAAAATTAAAAAATAACGAAAAGATACACACAACAAATCTTTTGCATTGGTTAGTACTTATTGGTGCTTATAGATTAATTTCATAGCAGCTGACTGTTGTGCGTCAATAACTTATTTCAGTTGCACAGATACAAAAAATTTGCCTGTTTTCTTGCTTGATTAGCAACATTTTTTATGCGTATTTTTTATTAACGCTTTCGTAATAACAAAATAAACTGATAGAACATTACAACTTTTTGAATCCGCATAAATTAGCTCTGTATTGATAAAATCATATATTTAGTTTTTATTATTTATCGCATTTTTATTTTTATTATTATTGTATTATTATTATTATTATTATTATTATTATATATTATATTATTATTATTATTATTATTATTATTATCCGCTCCATTGCTCCCACCGAATTCTCGCATTTTTGAAATATGATTTCCTAGTGAAAGAGCTGCCGAACCCTGGATTTACTAGGTAAGGTTTCGTTCCTTATTTTAAACAGTTCAAAAATTAACCAATAGATAGCACTGTGATGAACAAGTTGTCCATGACTGTAAAAAGATATGTTTTAAATATTGCAGAATAAGAGACAGGGGAAAAGGACTAACAGAATTTTATTTAACATTTCCAAGAATTTTATTTTAATACACTTCAACACTATTAGTTGCTGGGAAAATATTAAATCTATTCTCGACTTCCCTCCCGATATTATTAAGTATTTTAGGAATCACAGTAGCTGTTTCTGTGGTGATTCGATTTTTTAGTTCTTCGATGCTACGAATCTCTGCAGCAAAAACTCGGTTTTTCAGGTATCTCCAGTAAAAGTAGTCAAGTGGTGTGACGTCCGGAGAACGACGTGGCCATGAAAGGGGTCTACCTGTACCAATCCAACGATCTGGGAATGTTTCATCAATGAAATCACGCACATCTGTAGCTCAATGACAGGGTGTCCCATCCTAATGGGAAAAAAGTTTGGCTGCATTTCTTTTAATTGCGGTACAGAAAACAATTTCAGCATATCAAAGTAAACGTTCGAATTAATAGATAACTCCGAAAAAACAGAACGTACCAAACATTTTGTTATGAGTTAGTGCGCATCAAACGTCAGTTTTAGGAATACCTTGCTCAACGGCGAATGGATTTACTGGGACTGAGGATAAACACATTTCCAATGGTGGAAACTGACGCTGATCTTCATAATCATCACTGACGCTTGATCTACCTGCCCCTCCTTTACGCAAAACATTTCCCGACCGTCTTTTGGTGGAGGTTTATTAAGTTCATGTCGGAATTGCCTCTCAACTGTTTTCGGAACTTTTCCTTTTCCACAACCAGAGAACGCACATTGCTTTTGAACTGCATGATGTCATTTTGTCTGTAAACAAACAAGTTCTCTGTTTAATCTATTTCAAGATTAGAATAAATGAAATTTCTTTAACTAAAGATTATATTAATATAAATTATTTCCCGTTACTTCGTAAAATTACATTACAATTTAATTTTGTTATTCTCTGATTAAATTATGGACACCTTTTATAATGGTGTTATCAAACGATAAAAATTACTTACATGTGTAGGACTACCATGGCTTGAAACGAAGAATCAAGCCACTAGTATGATGGTGGAACTTGAAAATGAAGATATTAAGTCAGGCAAACATTTCAAACCTTAATGCACATCCTACAGAAAAAATTCACTCAGTAAGAAAAAGTAGTCCAAATTAAACATTAAAATTAAGTCTGCTTCTTAAGCTGTGTACCTGATTCCAAAAATATATGCATAGAGAAATATATAAAAACTACAACAATGAACTTCATTGGTTAAATCAAATTTCAGTAATTTTTGTTCTAGGAGAGGGCAACTTCATTTAAACGGGCCATGAATGCTTGTATATAGATCTGATTTGCTTTAAAATGTGAGGATGTTTTAACATTTACTGTTCAAAATTTAAATTGTGGAACAGCTGCACTTCACAATCGTTAATACTGATTGATCGAAAAGTTGCGCATCTCAAAACAAAGCTTTACTAGAAATAGAATTACAGTTATGAAAATTGTACCGTCTATCACTAAATAAGACTGTTGGAATGCTAGCGTATACGCCATTTGTTGTTTAGTGCAGCGGTTGTCAACCCTTAGAACTTCACGGACCACTACATATATAATTTTATATTTGCCAGACCACTAATACGAATTTTTAAAAAAAAGTTAATACATTTATGCAATACTAATCAGCAAACTACACATATTTCATTCACATTGAAAAATTACATGGAAAGTACAAAAATCTTACCTTCTTGTACAAAAAGCTTCATTTCCATATCACTGAAAAGGAACTTCACGTAAAGCAAGAACAAACCATCAAACGCAAAGCAATATCAATAAACTGACAGTATTATGCTGCCAATTTTTAATTATTGCAAACATAATAATCATCGCTTACTCAGAAATGGCGCCATCGATCAATAGTTAGACAAAACAAAAACGTAAAATTCCAGGGATGCAATTATAAACAAGAATGCAGATGGTTCTCATAAAAAATCTATCAAGATGCCTATTGACGCGGAGAAAACTGTGTTATTAACGACCACAATAGCATATGTTTGTAACTCAAAAAGGAAAGAGAATTTCAGTTCGCGGTATTATTGATAGCAGCAGCATATCCATGGATGCCAACTCTCACTTTCAATTGTCACTAGATACACTTGCAAAAGTAGCTAAAACGTCGCTAAATTCAGAAGGAATTTTGCTAAAATTAAAAAAAAAAGTATAATCCATATTCCATAATAGATTTTGTTACTCGTCATTTTTTAAACTGAATCTTCATAAAAATATAAATAATGTCCCAATTTTTCTGTGGACTATCAAAACGTTTTCACGGACCACCGGTTGGCGACCGCTTGTTTACTGGCATATGATGGTCTAAATAAAAGTTCTATTTGTATTGCTAGGCAGACACGCCGTTTTCCTAGAAGAGATGAATGTTAACAACTGGATTGTTCTTGGCAAGAGATTCGTGTGCGCATGTTGTAGATGAATTTTGCAAAAAATATCCGGATGTGGCAGTATTGAACAATACGAGGGTACTGTCCTACCACGTATTCCAGATTTATGTAAACATCTGGTTTGGGGCGGAAGTGGGCATATTTATCAATGATGTAGGGGTGAGTGCAGTATTGTAAGAAAAAGCACTAACTGACCTCCGAGAGGAAAAATTACCTGCGCTTTTCACCCACACCCCTTCGACCACCGAGAGGGAAAAGTACTCAAGCTTTTCACCCACAGCCCTTCAGTTAAACTGACCCATCTTGGCTCTCAGCTAAACTGCTCTCGCTAGTGTTATTAGACAGTAACAGAATTAATCGCTCATTTTCGGAAATGCCATTCAAATGGAGGCAGAAAGAGATCCGGGAGACTGTACATTCGGACAGAGGTTAAACTAGTGGAAGTTCAAAAAATGATGTAGAGATCGCTTTAGTAAATCCCGAGGAGACTGTACACTGATGCTGTTAACAGCCATGTTAATGTTCTTCTTTAGGTCCTCTTGTGCTTGCGGAACACCTTGAATAGACTTTCCTGTTAATACACTGCCACGGGAAATCTTTTGCGCTCGACAAGTCGGGGGAATACAGAGAATATAATTCTTTAGAAATAGAAAGAACTGTACGGTTTCACTGGATGCGTCATAAATAGCATCACAAAGGTGGAACCAACACTCATGTTTGTCATCTTAAACACCGTGAACTGCGTAATGATATCTTTGTACATTGCACTGTTCACTGTACTCTCAAGTACTATTCAATAATGAAACAACAATAAAATACTGTATAACAATAAAAATTCATTACCTTTTGGAAAACAACAACTTATCAACACAAACAGAGCTCTAATGTAGGTAGTACGCATGCTTGTTGCATATGCAATTAAAGTGCTTGCAATTAAAGTTCTATGTATAATAGTGGGTATTTGTGTACGTTACCACTCGACGCGAAGTGGGAAATGCGGCCCCGCAGGTGACAGGATTTAACAATTTTTTTTTTTTTTACCCTCTAATCAAAGAGAATCAGATTTAAAACAATGCCTTATATAAGCAATAACGTCCACCGGCTCCATTTGCATTGTGTTACAGATACAATTGATACAGTTATGTAACATTTGCAGTGGTAAATTTGGTATTAAATACAGTGGTAAAAATGTAACATGCGAAAAATGCTTCTTAGAAGTAGTAGTATTATTTGTTGTACCTGCACCCTTAACAGTCCAAGTTAACAATTTTTTCAACCACATTGAATTTTTAATGTTTAACTGCGATTTTCTGGAGAACTGTTAAACTGATTCTAATACAACGTTTTGCTATATAGCTGATATAAACTGATCTGTGATTTCTGATACACAGGGTTAAACTATAATTTTAAGTAGTAGTTTAAAAACTATTGACACGACTGAAGGAAAAATTTGTATGCAAGCGTTTTTCAAAATGGCAAATCATATTTTAAAACTAGTTTATTAAGTTATCCTGGATGTTTTAATACAGTGCTTTAATAGAAATAAAAAAAAACAATTACAGCTTTAACAATCACACGGCAGTTTGAGTGGCATATTATTTATATGTTTAATTCTAAACAAACAGCATACGCAGGTGCAATCACTTTCCAGATATCTTTTAAGTAATTAAAAAAGGTTAATCGGTGTCCAAAACCTGTGATTTTTTTAAAAACTTTTTATTTGTTCAATAAAAGTAATAGAACTGTACAGAGATTTTTCCTGTTGTTGTTATTTTTCGTTTCAATTCTACTATCGTAAAATATGTAATAGAAATACCTAAAGAAAAGTTGAGTGTAAGGAAGTTTGTTAGTAGTACGTTTTCATTTTTATAGTTTTTTTGTTGAGGAACTTATACCGGGTGTTTCGTTCAATATAACGTCCACTATACTATGGTAAAATCTATAACAGTTACGGTTGTCTGGTTTCCTGGAAAATTCATTATTACTCTTTTTTTTTTTTTTTTTTTTTACAGGATGTCTGTCCCACAGAGTATATATTGCTATTAACTTTGAAATTTTAGATAGGACAACTTTCTGGGTGGTTGCTTTATCATATATGTGAAACGCATAATAATTTTTTAAAATCCCTATATTTTGATCCAAGGCATCTCAGGTTACTTTTTACCATTCTTTAGAAGATATCCTGTATATTCAGGTTTGATTGTTTGACTAACCTTATCCAGTTAACATTTTTCTTTAGAATGTCTGGCGGAAGAAAAGGACTGTTTGATAGTCAATATAGAAAGAAGAGGTTGGAGAAACAAACCCAGCTTCAAAAGCAATCAGGAGCGTTGCGCAGCTTCTTAAGAGATGCAAGTAGTTCGAAACAGAGCAAAGAACTAAGCGACTGTTGAGATCTAGGCACTACTAACAGTTCTGATTTGGATTTCAATTAACACGACGACGGCAACACTAATGATGGACTTGCGAGTTGTTCCAGACAGGAACAGAGCTCAAAAGTTTTCAAGGCAATGGACGCTACCACGGGAAATGAAGGAGGCCTCAATCAAACTTTGTCATTAGACCCAGGATTATGGTATAAGCTTATAACCCGATGGTATAAGCGATTCACATCGGACACTTTTAGTTAGAAAAGGTCCATTACTTCCTTTATTCGGTCAGGATTTTCCGCTTGACAATCAAATTCCAAATCGAAGTTTTAGTGCAAAGTACTATAACACAATTAAAAAAGAATGGAGAAACGTGTCAAGAGACTGGCTGGTATACTTAGTGTCAAGAGACTCTGTGTTCTCTTTCTGTTACAGAATATTTGATAATTTAAAATTGAGTTCGTTTTTAAATGAGAGTTATCGAAACTGGAAAATTAGTGGTGAGTTATTAAAAAAGCATGAAGACACTAAAACTCATGTAAATAATTTAAACTCATGAATAGAGCTGAAACAAAGATTGGAAGCTTATCAGATAGTAGTAATCTGTACAGAGATTAATTGATTTTGAAATTAAAATTAGTGGGAAATAATTTTACGAATAATGTCAGTTATTAAATTGCATGGTGAATGTTCTCTAGCCTTTCGGGCTACAAGCAACAAGCTTTATGAACATAATAATGGGAATTTTCAGAAGTTAATTCAATTGCTAGCTGAATTTGATCCAATAATAGTGGAATATATTCGTAGAATCTCCAGTAATGAAGAAAAGACAACATATTTATGAAAAACATTCAGACCGAAATTATTGGACTGTTACATGATAATATAAAATCTTTCATTATAAAAGAAGTTAAAAAACTTATGCGAGTAAGGATGAGCAAATGGCAAATATATTATACATTCTAGAAACGGAAAATAAGTCCATGACCGTTTCAAAGAAAAATTTTAAAATACAATGCAAAAATGTATTCCATCATAATAAAAATGTGCCCACCAGTGTGTGAGCGATAAAAAAGTTCAAAGTTGGTAGTTTGACCTGAGTTCGATTCTAGGCGAACAGTCTGGCTGCATGTGTGGTGTAGATACGAGTCAATGTCTTTTAGAAAGTCCTCCATGAAAGCATCCTTCTGCTTAGGCAAACAGCATTCTCGTACTTTGCCATAATTGAATCACCAAAGCAAACCAAATCAAATTAAAATTAATGTAAAATCACAATAAAATAAGTCAAACTATTACTAAAATGACTTTT